CCTCCCCCCTCCCCGTGCACGAGTTCCGTGCACCAGGCCTCTAGTAAGACATAAAGTACAATATTATATAGCAAATAAAATCCCTGTGTTTATTTAAAATTTGCCATAACCAAAAATTGTTAATGATGTCTGACAAAAAGAAGCAGTGGGAATACTGCTGTCATTTTCAGCAGTATATTTTTTGTTGTATGGGACTGTCCTAGGTACAAAGCCTAGATAACTCAGGACACTTATCATTCCTGATGCCAGCCAGCACTAATGTCAGTAGCATACTGCTCCCCTCCCAGCCCAATCTCCCCCATTATGACAACTAGACCACCCTCTGCATGGTCCCAAGTGCATTCTGAAGAGGAAGGTAAAATCTGTGTTGAGATCCAAAGACTATGATCCTGAGTCTTCAGGATAGATTTAAAACTTCTATAAATGCTATATTTTAACACATTGTATGCGGGAAACGTATTTATACGTTTTACTTATACGTTTTACGTTGACTGGTAGTAGAGCGCGGGACACGTATTAATACGTTTTTTATAGACTAGCAGTATAAATACGTAAACTAAAGTTATCGTAATTTTACATTTGCGCAAAAAATTAGCAAAAATGGCCCGCGCCACCTGTTAGCGCGCAATAAAAACTACCCGCAAACAATGTGTTAAGATAGAGATTTATAAGACATTTTTTATCTCAAGGAAGAAAAATGGTAAAAAGGTATGCATTTTTAAAGACATTATTATTTGCTAGGCCCATGTTTGCTGTGTGTTTTGTATATGTTATTTTGTTTATTTATAAGACCCCATTTAGCTAGATTTTGCTCATTCATTGACCTTGTGGACAATAGAAGAGAGTCGGGCTATATGAAGGAGATCTTTCTTATCTGTAGCCACCAGAATATTCAAAAGCGTGTAAGCCTTTAGTCATATAAATTTGCTTCTTGTATTTCCTTAATGGCATAGGCATTCAGCCTTAGCTTGCTTGCTTGAGCACCTCCTTCCTGCAACACCCTTTTTATCTTAAAGACATGTTCCTGGATGGATCAGATTGTCAAAACCTGAACCTACTCATCAATTTTAACCTTACTAAAATTGGGACAACTAGTCATAATGTGCCTCCTATTGGGACATACAGAAAGTACACAGTACCACCTCTAACATATTCATGCCCCCTCAAAAACTATGTCAATTAGGCCTCCAGATCTAACAACATTTCACAGAAAATATGGAAGTAGAACATGATGAAGGTGCAGTTGGTTAAATCCAAAGTATGGGAAATTCTACTGATTCAGATGTTTCTTTAATAAATAGATAGTGACCTGGCTCGTTTGGCTCAATGGATAGAGCGTCGGCCTGCAGGCTGAAGAGTCCCAGGTTTGATTCTGGTCAAGGGCATGTACCTCGGTTGTAGGCTCAATCCCAGGATCCCCGCCCCTCTTTGGGGCTCGTGGGAGGCAACCAATCGATGTGTTTCTCTCTGTCTCTCCCCCTGCCTTCCACTCTTCTAAAAATGAGTAGAAAAATATCCTCAGGTGAGGATTAACAATAAATAAATAAATAAAGCAATAAAGATTATAAAGGCCTTTGGGGCCTGTTAGAGATTTGAGAAACTTTAGGAATCCTATAACAAAACACAATTTTTGGATCCGGTTTGAATCCTGATTTGAGTAAACCAACAGCAAATTACTTTTGAGAAAGTTGGGGCAATTTGAAACTTGATCTGGTTATTAGAAAATTATTGTTGCCCTAACTGGTTTCTGTCAGTGGATAGAGCATGGGCCTGAAGATCAAAGAAAATTATTATTAATTAGAGGCCCATTGCAGGAAGATTCCTTCAAAAATAGGGCTTCCTCAGGCCTATTCCTGCAAGAATAGGGCTTCCTGAGGCCGGAGCAAAGCACTGGAGAAGGGAGCTCCCTTCTCCGCCACCTCACTCCCTCCCATCTCCGCTGCCTGGCTTCCTCCCATCTCCGCTGCTGTCCCACCTGGCCACCCCGGGTCGCACACAGGAGGGCCGGATGGCGACCGGGCGGGCAGCGGATCACTGCTATCCCGCCCGGCCACCCAGGGTCGCACACGGGAGGCATGGATGGCAGCGGGGCAGGCGGGGAATGGCGCTGTCCCGCCCTGCCTGCAGTATGCAAATTACCAGCCATCTTTGTTGGGTTAATTTGCATACTTTTCTGATTGGCTGGTGGGTGTAGCAGAGGTACAGTCAATTAGCATCTTTGGCTTTTATTAGTGTGGATGTTACTAAGTATGATAATGTTATTCTGGTTATGCTTTTAACCCCTTCCCCGGCAGAAACGTGTATACTCGTTTTCACAAAATGTTCTTTTTCAGTCGTCGATGAGTATACTAAGAAAATATGGTAAAAAAATATGGTTTATAGGAAGACAAGTTACAAACTGTTTTCATAACCAGCATCAAAAATACTATATAGAACCAAAATAAAAAAATTAGTCTGAAAAAGAAACGTTTTTAACAAGAAAATTGTTGGGGAAGGGGTTAAAAAAACCTATTCTGTTAGATACTAAAGTTTTTGTGGGTGAAATACTATGATGTTGAGTATGTGGAATTTGCCTCAAAATACACCAGGGGTAGAAAATGAAAGGGAAAAGATGAAACAAGATTTGCAAACTCTTGTTAATTGTTCAAACAGGGATGGATTTATGGGGTCATTATACTATTCTCTATACTTTTGTGTAATTTTGAAAATGTTTGTAATAAATGAAAAAATTAAGAAGTCCTTTCATTTACTAGTAATGCATGTTTCAGGGATTGGTGACATTCAGGGATGTGGAAATAGAGTTCTCTCAGGAAGAATGGAAGTATCTGGAACCTGCCCAGAGGGACTTGTACAAGGATGTGACTTTGGAGAACTTTGGTAACTTAGTCTCACTAGGTAAGGATATCTATATATATAAAAGCCTAAGCGACCATCGCAACCGAACGGACGACCAAATGGGCTGCGTGGGGCAACCAAGCCAGCAGGGGGGCTAGTGAGGGGTGACCAAACAACTGAGCAGCAGGCTGCGTGGGGCTACCCGGCTGGCAGGGGGTTTAGTGAGGGGCAAACAAACAACATGCACCGGGCCTCTAGTCCTATATAGTAAAAGCCAAATATGCTAAGTGTCTGGTCGACCGATAGGCTGTTCAACCAATCAAAGTGTAATGTGGTAATGATATGCTAAGGCCACTCAACTGCTCGCTTTGACGTGCACTGACCACCAGGGGACAGACAGTCGACTGGTCGACCATTCGCTATGCGTACACTGACCACCAGGGGGCAGATGCTCTGACCAATAGGTTAGCTTGCTGCTGGACTCCGGCCAATCGGGACTGAGTGAGATGGGCCGGACATGCCCTGAAGCCCTCCTACGGTCCCTCCCCAACTGGCCAACCTCCTGCGTCTCTCCCTGGCCCCGATCGTGCATTGGTGGGGTCCCTCAGCCTGGCCTTCACCCTCTTGCAATCCAGGACCCCTCAGGGGGTGTTGGAGAGCCAGTTTCGGCCCAATCCCACAGAGGGAGCACTGCTCAGCCAGAAGCTGGGCTCAAGACTGGCGAGCACAGCTGCGGTGGCAGGAGCCTCTCCCACCTCTGCAGCTGCGCTAAGGCTTCTGGACTGCAAGAGGGCACAGGCCGGGCTGAGAGACCACCCCCCTGAGTGCACGAATTTCGTGCCCTGGGCCTCTAGTTGTGTAATAACTACACAGGCAAACAGAAACAAGGCTCCCATGAACTGCAACAGTGGGAGGCTGTTACCACCCCTGGCCGGAAGGGGTAAAGGGAGGAAACACTGCCACTGGAAGATTGTGAGAGGTAAAATCATGGAAAAGGGCCTGGCTAGCAGCAACTAAAGCTACTTCCACAATTCTTGGGTCAAAGAAGGGAGGGAGAGGGATAAATACTCTGAAGTCTGTCTCCTCCTGCCTGCTGATCTCCTACTGATGCTTTCCATCTGCCAAAACCAGTGAAAAATGATAGGGCCACTATAATACAGTTCTTTGCACGTAAGCTGTCCAGGACACAGAGCAGGGTCAGAAACAGCAAAGAATATATTGGAGGGGGGACAGAGAATAAGCACCATAATTATCAATTCCAAATACTTCAACTAGCCTTCTGGAATTTCTAGTTTCTTCAGGGTGAATATCTAGGAACACTTACAAGTTTCCAGCTGAATTTCTGCTCTCTGTTCCAAAGGAATTGTTTTGTGCTTTGTGGAAATGGAATTGGATAGTTTCATTGGCACCTCCATCTTCCCATCCTTTGGACAACCTTCACACCTTCCTTTATGTAATTGCCTTTCTTTCTTGGTAACGAAGAGACTAGGTTTGAATTTTGGAACAGCATGATCATTCCCCATTTCTCTTCCTATAAACAGGACTTTCCATTTCTAAGCCTGATATCATCTCCTTATTGGAGCGAGGGAAAGAACCCTGGATGATTGCAAATGATATAACAGGACCAAGGTGCACAGGTGAGCAAGGGTTAATCCAGTGGGGGAGGTCGTCTATATATATAAAAGCCCAGCGAACGGAACGGTGGAACCACCAGAACAACTGGTGGCTGTGACATGCACTGCAGCAGCCAACCAGCCTGATCCGGCCCCCAATAGGCCCCCAACAACCCAACCGAGGGTGTGGCTGGCCGGCCAACTGTCTGCAGCCCCTCCCCCATCCGGCCCCATCCCCGATCAGGCGTGGGGCCGGCCAACCAACTTCCTGCAGCCTCTCCTGTCCCACCGGTCTGGCCTGATAGGCCCCCATCGGGGTGGGCCAGCTGGTCTTCACCTGTGCATGAATTTGTGCACCAGGCCTCTAGTCCTATCTAATAATAGACAAACATGGTAATTAACCGTACCTCCAACACGCTTCCCATTGGCTAATCAGGGCAATATGCAAATTAACTGCCAACCAAGATGGTGTCCTGCAGCCAGGCAGCTGAAGCGAACAGGAGGCTTGCTTGCTCCAGTGAT